GACATGGTCCCGAGGTTATCCTAGTCCTGAAGAAGCCTCCCCCTATATAGAGCACAATGGAGTAGTAAATTGTGGTGGCTAGGGGTCCATGAGGGGCCATTGTCGCCTGGATCTACTCCGTCCGGCCTTCACGCTTTCTACACGGCTCCGTCACTCCGGTTGGATGCACATCGGCGAGGTTGTCGTATCCATGTTGGGTAAACTCTAATGTGAACCTTCTGTCTTATTATGGCATATTTATTTTATAATATATACTTAAATAATATTTACTTAAGGAAGTAAAGAAACCGTCTCAGATTTAAAGTTACACTAAAATACATTAATTATACAAAAGAAATAACAGCAGACATACTACTCATCCGATTTTATTTTTAACTGCAACTCATACAATTTTATGGAAGTGGCAAAATAATCAGGATTATCATTAAATAAATAACATAATTAAAAAAAAAAAAATTCTGTCCATTCAAATTTCGCTTATATTATTCTGAGACGTCGATTCCATATCCTTTTGACAATTTATCATAATTTTAAAAAAATTCCAAATTTTTACAGTTATGTCGTTGTTCCACTAAATGGTTAATACAATTCAATTTATTTTATTTTTTTAGATGTTGGTCGGTTTCTAAATTAATTTCACTGGTATTTCGAATTTACAAGCACCAAAATTTAGTATATGAGTCGTAGTTAATAATCTTTTAACACCTAATTAAGAAATCTTATTCGAACTCAGAGGTTTGTTTAATGCCAGAATTATATTTTTTTTTTTACTAGCTAAAAAATCGAGAAAAAGTGAAACAATATAGCAATAGCAGAATAATTTATACATATTGAAAAAAATTATTTAAATTTAATAGTAATAATTTTATAAAAATAATTATGTCTTTTAACCCCTGTGTACAATGATTACATTCAGCTTAGGGAACTCCGAACCAAGCCGACCTTATAAAAAAGGGCAAAGCAGGATTCCTAGGGATCACAGCGCTTCTCTCTCAGCAACATCACTGTTCCTACTTATCAAGACATTATACACCGATTTTAATATTTTTATTGTAGAGGATCCATTCTTCGAATTCGGTAAGCGACTACCAGAGAGCGCTCAATTCCTAGTGGATTCTCCGTCCGTTAGTATTTATTTCGTGGCTCATATCACGTGTAAGATTTTATTTAACGCATCCTAACTTACCTGACTTATGCCTCCGGTTACCATTAATAAAGTAGAAATAATTTCCGTTTACTTTTGACTAAAATAAAAATTCATAGTTTCTTCATATTACGTTTTACCAAAGCCATTTATGAAATATTTTATTGATTTTGAATGCAGAGATACAACATATGTATTTCTTGAACATCTGTTCAAAAAACTGTTGAAAAATGATAAGTGACTTTTCTTATTATATTTTCATTAGTAGAAATATTTATTTGTTTTTAGTACTACAATACGTTCTTCCAGCTAATAACACCATATATGGGGCTCACAATACGAGTTTTCCTAATGGATTATGTGTAAACATGTGTCGAACCCGAAAACAATTACCATATTCGGGCTACGAAGGTTCACTGTCCAAATCGTAGGAGGGAGGACCAGTTTTTTGAGTTGTGAACGGTTTCGCTGCAAATTATGGCCCTTTTATGTCAGATTTATGTTTCGAATCTTACTTAGATGTATAAATATGTATAAATGCTCGACTTCACTATTATGGAATCTTTAAATGGTCCTATAGTATATTCAACGCTAAGGCCATTTTTATTTATTTTTTTTTATAAAACTGAACATAAAGTGATTGTGCAAGATCTGAAATATTGTGAGAATAAGTACATTTGCCCAATGGGCGCCATTGCAGACACATGGCCAAATCCATTAAAATTTACTTTAAAACATTCTCTCTAATTTTTCGTTTAATCGTCATCTATTTTTGGACACCTAATGTGAAAAGGATGTCAGTCAAGCATGTCTGTAATCGTTTAAGCCCTGTTCTAACCACTGTGTTATTAGTTCCAAATTACTGATCCCGCTAGATGACTTCCTCCTACCGGTTAGAATCCGTCATGGCTTCTGTTCAAGAGAATATTCCCTTGGAGAAATCACAGCTTTCAGGCTGTTGCCTAAAACAAACGTTCGCAAGGGTTATCCGAAAAAATACGATATCTAGTCGAATTTTTTTTTCCCTAATTTTGGGTATATAACTTTTATTTGATCCACCTGTTCCTTCAAATGTTCCTCTTATTTCAGTTTTGTATCGCTATCCAGAACCGGAACTTTTCAACGGCAGCATACGGTTTAAATGTCCGTAAATTTAAAGTGAAATTATATTTTAGCTTGGAAAAAAAAACTTATACGTTTTTATCCGTGAAATTATTTATACGTGAAACTTATACTCAGTTTCACGTGCAGCTCCCATGATTGGCCTTGGTTTCCTAATAATTATGTACTATCCTCTTCGTCTGTACGATACCGGAATTATTCAAAGACCGAAGACGCCTAAACCCAATGTATGCAGCCTCCACGGCCACACCAGCGCGTGTTTCTTTGTCACCGACTGTTATAATCATCACAGACAACAGTCTGCACGCACAGTAGCTATTGAGTATTCCGGGGATGGAAGCGACGTGATCGGATTCTGAACTGGACACTTTGGCATTCGTCTGGCCCATACGACCGCTGCACAAAATCGTAATATACGTTTCCATTTTTTCTTTTTGTGTACACTGATGGGTCTGCCGAACAGACAATACAATGGAGAGGCAGATGCATACTCACAACTGTTTCCTATTTTGAAACCTGTTTCGAAATGAGCCTCAAATTTCGATAGCGAAATTAAAGCAATTTTATTGGCACTGCAAGCCTTGTCACACTTAGGTGCCAAAAATCTTGTATTGTTTGTGGATTCAAAGGTGGCTATTCTCGCTGTGTCATGGCCCAATGACTCCTTTGCTCAGAGTATCCTAAAGTGGCAAAAGATCATGGAGGAACTACTTCTTCAAGGGGAACAGAGGTATTCTTTCAATGGCTACAAAGTCGCTGTGTTCTCCATGGCAACGAAATGGCTGATAAACTCTCCAAGGAATGCTCGGCGTTGAACCAGTCAGGAAATCCAATATCGTTTCATTGAGCCAGAAAATAAATATATAACGCAAATGAAGCTTACTACTGGAATCCATAAAAAGCAGTATTGTAGAGAAGCAATGGAGAAAATTGCTTAATGAAGCAGATCGGGTACCCATAAACCTATCGAGAAGGGAAGCTGTGGCAGAGTTCAGGGTAATAAAAGGCCACGTTAGGAAACATCTGCTTAGAATAGGAGTGGTAGACTCTCCACATTGCACCCTATGGATTTCGGGAGCACGTATGGATGCAGACTATTTAAGTGTATGCTCGCGCTTAATGAACATAAAAGATACCACGACGTCCAAATCGAACTGGGGTGCTAGGTCTCTGATGGCAGAAGTGTATATTGAGAGAAATAATTAAAAACAAAATATCTACGTTCCTATTAATAAAAATAATATGTTACAATTTGATTATTAAGTATTAATGCCTTACAAGATGTTATGTAGCTTCGTGAATGTATAAGTATTTTTATATATTCGAGTATATTGCAAGGTTGTTGTAGAAACTCTTTCGAACTTTAAAGTATGTTTGAGGATCTTGATTATAAACAATGAAGAATATACCGCTCATTAATTTAATCAATGTAATAACCCAAAAAGAAATTTCGAGGTATTTAGAAATTTAAAAAAATATTTATTTTTAGAAATACTTGTGATTCTCTAAAAAGTAATTTGTATAAGAATAATACAATATAATAATGCGTATAAGAATACTACTATATCATATTAATTTATCTACTAATATTATCTTCCACATATCTTGTTGAAGTGCTTATCGAGAACAGTCCAACCCTCACCACCATGTAGGTGGAAGGACAAGTAGGGAAATTGTTTTTGTTTTTTTTATCTCCTGTCTTCCTAAAATTGTTGTGTAACTAGAGCAAAATACACTCTTAGATTTTTCTAACTCTATTTAAAACTACTTGATCGATTCTTCCTTCGTTGCCGATAATCGTACCTACGCATTTGTAGTTATCTACTAAATAAAGTACTTGTCGGTTTGTACAGAGCGTCTCATTATATCACTATTATTCACCTCGTATACAATTTTTAAATATAATTCGTTCCAATGTTTTAAATCTCCGTGTCTGAAATATTTTATTGTTATTTATCTATTTCAAATACATTCCAGATTATCTTTATTATCATTTCTTGTGTTTTGTATTTAATTGGTTAACTTAATACAGAGAGTATAAGGATTGACATTTTCACAAAAAAAAAAAGTAATATTTTTTTAATAACGCCATGTACAATTCCCGTTTATGATTACATACTTTTATTTAACCAGCCAGACGGTGTGACTTTTTTTATTTATAAAATATCCTAATATATTAAAAAAAAATTCCATAATAACGGTTAAATAATAAGGACAGTAAAGCATACAGCGTTTACGAAAATAATAGAGCGACGATGAGAGCTGTAAACGAACAGTAAATACATTCCCTCATTAGGATTCAACCGAGAACACTGCTACCGCCTGCGTTATGTATTAGTCCCACGTCGTCGATTCCTTAGCCAGCTCTGGGGGTAATTAGCAACTGGACTTCCGATTTTCTGCCTGGTCCCTGCCACCTATATCCCCAAGAGAGCATTGAACTTTTCTGTATGACTTTCCGGCAGAGGTCAACAGCATTTGGGAATCAGTTCTCGAATGGGAGTCCTTGTTAATTGTCCTCCATTTTGGTCCTGCTGATGTGAAACCAAAACTTACTTGTCATTTTTATTAGAAATTAAGACTACATCTTATTATCTCACATACTCTTAACATGTGAACGTACTCTCATGAAATTTATTTTGTTATAATTATTACTAATAATTTTTTATGTTATGTTAACATAATTTATTTAGCTTTCGAATGATTTCTTATTTGTTTCTTTTTCTTTTTCCAGAGACACAATTCTTATGCAGTGAGGTACTGGATTTGCGAAGCACTTTGCTTGGTCAACATCATCGGCCAGCTCTACCTGATGAACAGATTCTTCGACGGAGAGTTCATGTCTTACGGACTCCGGGTGATGACCTTCTCCGAGCAGGCACAAGAGGACAGGATCGATCCCATGGTCTATGTCTTCCCGAGGGTGACCAAGTGCACCTTCCACAAGTTCGGACCTTCGGGTTCCCTCCAGAAACACGACTCCTTGTGCGTCCTTCCTTTGAACATCGTCAACGAGAAGACATACATCTTCATCTGGTTCTGGTTCATCCTCCTCGCAACTCTCCTGACGTTGCTTATCATATACAGAGCTATCATTCTCACCTGTCCGTCCGTTAGGCCGAGACTCCTCAGAGCTCGTAACAGGATGGTACCTTTAGAAGTTGCCGAAGCGCTGTCGAGGAAGACGAGCGTCGGCGACTGGTGGATACTCTACATGCTCTGCAGGAACATGGATCCCCTGATATACAGGGACGTCGTCTCGGAACTTGCCAAGAAAATAGAATCGAGAAGCAACAGTCAGTAGGCGCTCGATCTTGGACCGTGCAAGAAGCCAGCAATAACATTCAAATTTTATGGACAAGATCTGTCGATTGTTAAATGCTGCTTAAGCTCAGTTGTTTGTTTTTTTTACATTTAATATTAGAATTTTATATCGATTATATTCCAATTAAGTTAGCAACCAACAATACTTCCAGTTTGATTCACGTCTTCCATTACCGAAAAATGACTGCTATTTTCTAAACATAACTTCAGAAAACTATTTTTTAGTTTAACTTTTCTCGGATCAAAAGACTGTTTAGGTTTTTAAGAGTTAGATCATTCCACAATACAGCATTCACTGAAATGATTAAATTGAAAAAATTAAAATAGTATAATTGCTAAGTCAATAATACTATAGTGATCTGACAATATGCAGTAACTAAACATATCAATATTCATATCGAATTCAGACTTAAGTACATTTGAGTAGGTTAATTATAGAAATGTATTAACTGTTATATGACGAATATATCTCTTAGTGACAGACAACTGGGCAGAATATATATATATATATATTTATGATATGCTCATGAAAAATAATGTGAGCTAATTGCTTCTGGCGAGCACATTGAGCCCAAGACTGAATCAGTGCCTTGAACGCTTCACTCTTGTATTGACTGTGATTGTATTTTCCTATATTTAAGGTTATGGTTGATGAAGATTGTTAAATGTATACAATGAATCTTTTCGATTTATGTTTATTTATGTAATTTACTATGTAAATAGTCTTTCGTGTATCTGTTGGTTAAACAATTGAATAAATTATTAGCCAGTATTTATGAGATGTAAATTTTGTATAACCGTTGAGTTAATACTGTGCATGCAATTTGATTTGAATTAAATTTTATTTATTATTTTTGCCTGTTTTTTTTTTATTTTCTTTTATTATTATTATTATATTACATTCTATATTTTTAATGGCACCTATTAGAGAACCTATTTAAAAGACTGCTTTTGTAAAAATGTTGACAAAATTACTTGAATCATTCCATATGTAACAGTCAGTACAAATATTTTTGAAGGTGCCTTTTAAAAGTTGTTATATTTAAATAAGTTAATGTAGTCATTAGTGTTATGTATTTTCTGCTCAAAAACATAATATATTTTTTATATTATGCTTTATTTTGAGAATCAAACTATTATATCTATATTTGGCATCTACTTCATTACGTTTATACATTTTTTTTTTTTGTATTTCATATTAAAGAGTTTTGAATATGCGTTGTATGAATTGTATTTAGGAATTTAAATATATTCTGATTTATTATATTACTATATATTTTTTACCAAAAAAAAAAAACCTCTGCATCCATCTGTTCAAAAGAAACACATAGCAATATTGTTGGATTTTTTTTTAATAATTTGAAACGTAAATAATCAAAACTTTTTTTTTTTTATTAGTTGAAAATTAATACATTCTGCCACATTGGAAGGCATTAATACTAGGGCTACATTAAACATTCACTCAATATATACATATAAATGATAACTACAAAGAGATAAAAGATAAAGAGTTGTAGAAAGTAAAATAAGAAAATTAACATACATATGCAAAAAAAAAAAAAAATATATTAAGAGAGAAACTAAATGAAATTAAAATAGATTTTTTTTTTCTTTACTCTTTTGTTCTTTTTTCTTATTCTTTTGTTATTACTTTATTTATATATATTTTTGTATATACGGTATGAATGCAATTTCTGAACTCTATTATAAGTGTCCTTAAACTGTGACAAATTGTAATATTTCTGAATAAAGTGTTTAATAATAATAATAATAAAATAGATTTAACACATTCACACCTATATACAAATTATAACTAGAAAAATAAAATCCTCAATATTATAAAAATTCTCAGAACTGGGACGTTTTCTCTTTAAATTAATTAATTAATTAAACTAAACACTCATGAATACTCATTTGTTATCCACTTGAATCGTACGATAATTTGTCCTCAAAATCGAGTTCAAAGGAGGCCTACAAAAGTATTGGGCCGTTTGGCTTATATTACCTCGTTATATTGGCAGTTGGGGTTGGAGGTCAATCCAAACGACTCAATATTTTTTTTGGAAACATTTTTTCTGATCAAATTATCTTATGATTAAAGCGCAAAGCAAATGAGTGTTCATGAGGTTTTGGTAGCTTTTTATTTACCGATCTCCAGATTCAAAAAGCCCCGGATTCGGAGAATTATCGAAAAGGAAAAAGTTGTAGGTAACGATTAGTTGAAGCCATTCACAAAGTTTTATAAGGATGTTAATAATTTGACATAAAGGTGTCTTATGGCGCTGACTTAAGAAATTGTAGAGGTTCTGAATTTTGTTAACTAAAATTTGTTAAGTCGTTTTGGACCGTTAAGAATTTATGAATGGAAAGTACATTATTACGAGAGTACACAAATATATAAAAAAGTGCTGAGCCTTCCTTAGAAAGAAGTGAAACCAAAACCCTTCATGGGATGAAATGGTACTGGTTTTCTTGTTGTCGAATAAAAAGTATTAAAATTTTCATTTAAAAATTTGGATTATATATATTAAATTGAAATTTTTAATAAATTTTATTTGACACAACTGTGGGTTTAAATAGATTAACAATTTCCGTCAGTACTGATGGAGTATTGCCTGAAAAATGCAAATATATTATTTTTTACTAATAATAACGTAATATCTATACATTAGTAATACACCAACGAATCAAACGAAAATAATATTTTAATAAATAAATAACATTTGATAATATGAATGCATTGGTCAAAAGATTAATTAAAATAATCGCAATGGCCTACTCACTAATTAGCTTAAAAGACTAATCGTCCCTGATTGGATGATGCCTGAGGTTTATTGAAATCAATTGGAAAATTAGAGGACGCCGAAAACATCATGGTGGGCTCACAGTACGACAGATATATGGTCGACCACACATTTTTGAAAGACGATACCATTAAGTATAATTAATAATAAATAGAAAATAAATAAATAATACTACATTTATCGAAGAGATATGTATATACATATACTCCTTCTTCTATAATACTTTCGGTCAAACATCAACAGAGGATTAGTCCAACAGCAGACAATTAAACTTGATTAGCCGATATCAATTTTTTTACATTTTAATAACATTTTAAACATATATATAATCAGAATTTGACATTATTTATGAGAATTCGTTAAAAAAAAAATAATAAAAGATGTGTTCTTCATACCACACGATTTTTTATAAATATTAATTATAAACAATGCCTCCTTATAAAGAGGATGAAATGCTGAACATTTCCCTCTCTTACAATATACAGATTCGATTTTTAGTTTTTAAGATATTTTAATCCATATGCAGAAACACTTCAATTAGTCGACTTCAGCCAGCTCAATCTAATTCACTCTCCTCAAAAAAAGTGCAAAACGCGCCTAAAGACCTTTTAACTTCAAAAATATATTTCATATATAGGTAAGGGAAAGTATATGGTAAGTGAAAATCTAGTAAAAAGAGAATGACTAGATCAGTGGTTAAAAGCTTAGAGCTTCGAACCAACACTCATCGAAATGCAAATTCAGATGATCAGCCTTAAATTTTTCGATCTAATTACAAAAAAAAAAAAATTGCGAATGATCAGCCGCTTATCACTTTAATCCAATTAAATTAAATAGGGCTCAACTCTGCAATTTTACTATAGAAAGAATGTAACAAAAAGTAGAGCCACACTGACAATAATGTCGGGACATAAATATTTCGATGGGTAGTATTACATTTACATGATAAAGTGGATAAGGAGGTGGTCTGGCGGATTTGCTTGGTATTTTTGTTTCGAATCGGAAGATACACCATTTATACATATTTCATTTATACATTGATCCTCTTCATTTACACTTTTTGTATTCACTCGATGTATATCTTTGTATATCGAAATTTTGTATTTCGATTTTGGTAGTCATGTTGTGAACAGAGAACTCCCACTCTGTCACCAGACCTTCCCTCTCCTCCTGGAATAAATGTTTATTCCACTGACTCGTATCAGACGAATTATGGAAGTTATAAAGACAATTGCGTATGATAAAACATGAAAATTAATTAATTAATTAAAGTACTTAGATTTTGATATGGTTTTCCACAATCAAAGGTATGTAATTCCATTCTTGCCATGCTTAATTATAGTCCATGAAAGATACAAATTTATATCAAATAATTATGGTCCTTAAAATTCTAATCGTTACCTACATTATTTATTTACCGTTATATTATATCGTTACCTAATCGTTATTTACGAAAATTTTTGGAATTGGGTAGCTTTCGATCTGGAGATCGGCAAACTTTATTTATTTAATCTGGTACAAAAACTTATGAATACCCATTTGCTTTCCGCTTGAATTGTGAGATAATTTAACAAAGACGAAAAAAAAGATGACCTGCAAAAATATTGGTCTGTTGGGCGTAACCTTTTTCTTCAACACGTAAAAATGACGAGGTTTTATAGATCAAGGTTGGAAACAAGAGGGATGGTTCAGAAGCTTATTATGGAAGGATAGGTATCTGGATTGAGCTAAATCGAAAACATGTGGTACATTAAAGTCGTTATGGATGATTTTAGTTGTGACACACTAGGGAGCTTTACGAAGGATTTTGGATTGCAGGGATTGGATACGAGAGGAATATGATGGTTTAGTAGAGCCTCAAAGCTTGATCCCGTACGTCTAAATAGGCCTTATTATAGTAATATATATCAGTCTTTTGTAAATAGTTGGAAGTTTAGAGCGTTTGTCTAGTAAATGCTGCAGTAGATGAAAACGTAGGGCGGTTTCTTGTCGTTTCAGTGTGAGGAATGGTTTTTTTTTACATAATAACTAGATTGAAAATCGAGTTAGGGATCTCCTTCCTTAGACAACCTAAGTAATCGGAACAAGTTACGGAAGAGGTACTGCTGAGTACTTTCATTCCCCATGGCTGTCATGTCATTATTTCGTGTATCGCCACCACATTTGCTGATTGTCAACAATAAGTTGACAGGCGCAGATACATTTGTTTATAGACAAAAAAATATTACTTTCTTATTTTTCTTTTTTTATTAGGAAGCTTACGTTTATAATTTTTTCATATTTTAGGCAATAAAACTTCCAATTTTCTTCATATTTTTTTATTTATGCTTGTTGTTTCTTACGTTTCAGGACAATTTTCCCATCATCAGAGTAATATTTTTATTTTTAAATTCTTTTTTTTGATGTGGCACCATTTGTCAAAAATTAACTATTTGTCACATTTTTTAAAAATTATTTGGTGTTACACATATTCATTGATACAGATGTTGATAGATAGCCAGATGTTGATTAGTGTATCAATGAATATGTGTAACACCAAATAATTTTTAAAAAATGTGACAAATAGTTAATTTTTGACAAATGGTGCCACATAAAAAAAAAGAATGTAAAAATGAAAATATTAATCTGATGATGGGAAAATTGTCCCGAAACGTAAGAGACAACAAGCATAAATAAAAAAATATGAAGAAAATTGGAAGTTTTATTACCTAAAATATGAAAAAATATTACGTTATGATTCAAGTGGGAAGCAGATCACTATTAATTCATATGTGCTTGTTTTAGGTGAAAATTTTCTAATATTATAAAATGAGGCTCTGTTTATTTTTTCACCATATTTATTTTAATTTTCGTAGCTACGTTTCGGCCGGTAAGCCATTTTATTCAACCATGCTTTTTGCATGTAGTCCAAAGCATGTTTGAATAAAATGGCTTAAAGATGGCTTACCGGCCGAAACGTGGCTATGAAAATTAAAATAAATATAGTGAAAAAATAAACAGAGCCATATTTTATAGTATTAATTAATTTTAGTACCTAATTAAATAAACAAAGTTTACCCATCTCCAGATCGAAAACACCCCAATTTCGAGAATTTTCACAAAATAAAATATTTATAGGTTACGATATTTGTATGATAAAGCTATTAACGAGATAAAGCTATTATTAACGGAGTTTCAATCAGATGTTAATGATCTGATAAAAAGGTACAACGGAATATTATTTATATTGACGAATAAAATGTTCTCGTAAAATAGAGGATCATAAAAACCATGACGAACTGACTAAGTACCAGTCTTCAAGTTCTTGGAATCCCACCTAGGAGAGAGATGAGATACCTAGAACTCTATTACAAATCTAAGAAGTTGTTAGAAAGGAGGTGAAGAAAAAGAACTCCAAAGCTAGAAGTTGAAGGACCGCGAGGAGCCCGATATGGGGTGAGTGCAAAGCGGTGCCCCCATCC